GAATTTATGAATTTAAAAAAATAAATAAAAATGATAGGCGTGCTCCTGAGGTTTTGTGCTGTGGAACAAACACATCTCGGGCCATGGGAGGCATTTTTGTGATCCGGTGATCCATAGTCGTGCTTTTTCTTACATGACTTATATGAGCTATGCACGTTTTATTTTTAAAACATCATGAGTGTGTGCTGCAGCTAGGCCAGAATTGAACGAACGTTTAATGTAATTTTTTTTTTTTTTTTTTTTTTTTTTTTTTTTTTTTGCATTATTGCTGCCCAAAAACGAACGTCTTGCCTGTGGTAGGTGCGGAAGGTAAGACAGCCTTGCTGATTAATGAGAACATTGTTCTTTTGAGTGTTTGTTTATGTTGCCAACGTGACCCCCCCGTGAGAGTAAATCCTGCCGAAAGCGGCGCCCCTGCTAGTAAACGTGCAATTGAGAGTGTTTGAGTTCTCACATCACTTTCAAAACCTCTTTCCCAAACAAAAACAAACAAAATAATATTTAAAAAATATATAAATCACAAATGTAAGGTTGCCAGGGTTTATTTGATGGGAGATAGTGAAGATTCCCAAGACCAAAACTCTAATTAATGTATTATATTTATAGAAAGCTCACTTGCAGTTGTACAAGGTGAATGCACACTAGGTGCGCAAAATAATACGTCAGGAAACAATGAATACTAAAAATACATTTAAAAATACACCCATAAAAGAAATAGAAAATAAAGACAAAGAAATAACATATAGACTCATACACAACATGACGCCAGTATCATCAAGACCATACAAGGACAGAGCTAGGAACATAGAATGTCCACTCTGCAGGACAGGGGCTGATGAGACAGAACAACATTTATATCTGACATGCACCACAATATTACAGACTAAATCTACACTTAAAAAAATCATACAAGCCGGTACAGTTCACCCAGTAGATATCGACAGAGCTATAACACTAAACACAATACCAGCATCCATAAACAAGAAACAACACACAATATTACTTTCACAATACAGAAAACATGTATGGCACCACAGACTTTAGGCTTATTTTCCACAAACATAGTTACACAAACATTACATTAGAAACACTTTTTAGATTTAAAACACAAAACATTATTCGAAACATAATTTAAGAAAATATAATGACAAAATAATTTTAAAAAATAATAATAATAATAAATTGTCAGGGAGCGAGCTAACGGGTCGTTCTTAAAGGACATCTGCAAAGAAGAAAAAAAAGGGTGGTTTGGGGGTCCGTGGGGGGGGGGGTCGGGAGTGGGTCGTCGTTCAAAAGCGAACAAATGAGGATAATGGGGACATGGGGTGTTAGAAAGATCCGACGGATGTCAGTAAGTTTATAGCATGTTTTGTTACAGGATGCTTTAGGCCCCACTGTGTGTGTGGCTCATACATGTCAGTAAGTTTATAGCATGTTTTGTTACAGGATGCTTTAGGCCCCACTGTGTGTGTGGCTCATACATGTCAGTAAGTTTATAGCATGTTTTGTTGTAGGATGCTTTGGGCCCCACTGTGTGTGTGTGTGTGGCTCATACATGTCAGTAAGTTTATAGCATGTTTTGTTATAGGATGCTTTAGGCCCCACTGTGTGTGTGTGTGTGGCTCATACATGTCAGTAAGTTTATAGCATGTTTTGTTACAGGATGCTTTAGGCCCCACTGTGTGTGTGGCTCATACATGTCAGTAAGTTTATAGCATGTTTTGTTACAGGATGCTTTAGGCCCCACTGTGTGTGTGGCTCATACATGTGCAACAATGAGAAGTTAAAAATTTAGTGACTATTTGTTGTTTGTAATCGTAATTAAATGTCTTGGATTCTCACACAATATAGCGCCATGTGGACATCTGAAACCCCGCGGGGGAGGGGGTGGCCAAATGTGGACAAAGGGGGGGGGGGTGGGAGTGTTCTGATTTTGGACAATTGAGGACAAAGGGGGGGAGGGGGGAAAAGTTGCTTATTTCTTGCAGACATTTTCAATGAACATCACTTCATTTAGATTATTTAACATATTGAAATCATAATGAAACATTTTTTTTTTTTTTTTTGTTTTTGAAATAAAACTATTTTAAAAATAACTTTAAAAAAAAAAAAAAACTCCATTATCCAAAAAGTACGAACAATTATAAAATAAATACCCCCCCTCCCCTCCCCCTTTTACCCCAAAACCAGACTTGAGAGTTGTTGCAGTCATATTACTAAAAACTGGCAGGGCGCCAATGAACTCAAAGTTCTTGCAAATCGCTAAGACTTGCACGCAGCGGTATCGCTAATTTCATTCCACTTGTCAAGATCACTATCAATATATGAGCATACAACAGTGATGTGAGGCAGTTGTGAGAACTCATATCGACGTGTGCATACAACAGTAATGTAAGCTCATGTTTTCACGATTAAATTAAATAATCAGTATAATAACAACTGTGTCACAAAAAAAACTTACTTGCAGCAATGCAAACATCTACACATGTGTCCAAAGTGACACGTGTCACGTCACACGACATCACTGCATTGCACGGGCGCCCCTCGCTTTTTGACATGACGTCCCTCTGAAGTTTTGGGGAACATTTACCATACAAACTTTAGCGCTTGTTTGGGAACCTGTGTTTTTGTACGTTTAAGTCCCTTCAGGTGGGTGACAAATTAAAATACAATATTTGACCCACAGAGGTCACTCAAATGTCAGTGGAGGTCATTGGTGACATATTGATCATGAAGAGTTTACGACTTTTCAGCTCCATTTGGAGATCCGGAAAGGGGGGGGGGGCAAAATCCATGTGTAAGATTCGACCATTCACATACGGACAGAGCAATCTAAAATAAAAAAAAATGTATACAATTATTCTGTGTTGTAGAAGTATGTGTTTTTGTGAGGCCAAATGGTCTATGATTTTGTCCACTCATAACCAGCTCTCCTCGCTTGCATATTCATTTCCAAATCTTATGAGCTCTGTAGGAAAACATGAGGTCACCTTCAACGGCCAATTAAAAAGTACATGAGTTGATTTAAAAAGTACAAGAGTTGATTTAAAAAGTACATGAGTTGATTTAAAAAGTACATGAGTTGATTTAAAAAGTACATGAGTTGATGTAAAAAGTACATGAGTTGATGTAAAAAGTACATGAGTTGATGTAAAAAGTACATGAGTTGATTTAAAAAGTACATGAGTTGATTTAAAAAGTACATGAGTTGATGTAAAAAGTACATGAGTTGATGTAAAAAGTACATGAGTTGATTTAAAAAGTACATGAGTTGATGTAAAAAGTACATGAGTTGATGTAAAAAGTACATGAGTTGATTTAAAAAGTACATGAGTTGATGTAAAAAGTACATGAGTTGATGTAAAAAGTACATGAGTTGATGTAAAAAGTACATGAGTTGATTTAAAAAGTACATGAGTTGATTTAAAAAGTACATGAGTTGATGTAAAAAGTACATGAGTTGATTTAAAAAGTACATGAGTTGATTTAAAAAGTACATGAGTTGATTTAAAAAGTACATGAGTTGATGTAAAAAGTACATGAGTTGATTTAAAAGTTACATGAGTTGATTTAAAAAGTACATGAGTTGATGTAAAAAGTACATGAGTTGATGTAAAAAGTACATGAGTTGATTTAAAAAGTACTTGAGTTGATTTAAAAAGTACATGAGTTGATTTAAAAAGTACATGAGTTGATTTAAAAAGTACATGAGTTGATGTAAAAAGTACATGAGTTGATGTAAAAAGTACATGAGTTGATGTAAAAAGTACATGAGTTGATTTAAAAAGTACATGAGTTGATGTAAAAAGTACATGAGTTGATGTAAAAAGTACATGAGTTGATTTAAAAAGTACATGAGTTGATGTAAAAAGTACATGAGTTGATGTAAAAAGTACATGAGTTGATGTAAAAAGTACATGAGTTGATGTAAAAAGTACATGAGTTGATGTAAAAAGTACATGAGTTGATGTAAAAAGTACATGAGTTGATGTAAAAAGTACATGAGTTGATGTAAAAAGTACATGAGTTGATGTAAAAAGTACATGAGTTGATGTAAAAAGTACATGAGTTGATGTAAAAAGTACATGAGTTGATGTAAAAAGTACATGAGTTGATGTAAAAAGTACATGAGTTGATGTAAAAAGTACATGAGTTGATGTAAAAAGTACATGAGTTGATGTAAAAAGTACATGAGTTGATGTAAAAAGTACATGAGTTGATGTAAAAAGTACATGAGTTGATGTAAAAAGTACATGAGTTGATGTAAAAAGTACATGAGTTGATGTAAAAAGTACATGAGTTGATGTAAAAAGTACATGAGTTGATGTAAAAAGTACATGAGTTGATGTAAAAAGTACATGAGTTGATGTAAAAAGTACATGAGTTGATGTAAAAAGTACATGAGTTGATGTAAAAAGTACATGAGTTGATGTAAAAAGTACATGAGTTGATGTAAAAAGTACATGAGTTGATGTAAAAAGTACATGAGTTGATGTAAAAAGTACATGAGTTGATGTAAAAAGTACATGAGTTGATGTAAAAAGTACATGAGTTGATGTAAAAAGTACATGAGTTGATGTAAAAAGTACATGAGTTGATGTAAAAAGTACATGAGTTGATGTAAAAAGTACATGAGTTGATTTAAAAAGTACATGAGTTGATGTAAAAAGTACATGAGTTGATGTAAAAAGTACATGAGTTGATGTAAAAAGTACATGAGTTGATGTAAAAAGTACATGAGTTGATTTAAAAAGTACATGAGTTGATGTAAAAAGTACATGAGTTGATTTAAAAAGTACATGAGTTGATTTAAAAAGTACATGAGTTGATGTAAAAAGTACATGAGTTGATTTAAAACCCCTTCAGAACAAAATAATTGTTTAAAAGAAAAAAAAACTGCATCACATTTTTAATTAAAGTTTCCTCTAAGACATGACGAGTCGGCATCCTTGCCAGCTTTGTTTCAAAATCCACAAATAGGTAATAGTAACAGGCAAGCCGTTAGTTTTGCTAATTAAAATGGGACAACGATGTCCAGTTTAACCCATGTCGTACCAGGTGGGCTTTTCAGGAGAGCCACCACTGGCATGACGCATGCTTCAAAGTTGGAGGAATTACTTTTCTGGCCAAACACGTGAATTTTTTTGTATAGTTCCCGGTGCTGTGGCCAGTTTGTCTCCTTTTCTTTCACCAAGGCGTGGTCTCCAACAAGATAGAGCTCATCTTTGAAGGTCACTGCTCCATGAAGGTCGAAGTGAAAGTCCCATAACTTCTTCACAAGTTTGAAGTCGATCAGTCCGAATCCCTTTGAAACCATTCTCCATAAGTCTCCCGTTGTTTGTAGGACGTACGTCACTTCCTCATGTCTGAATGTGATCAAATTTTTGGCTGGTCCTTCGAGGCTATTTAGTCTCGTCCAAATACGTGAATTGACGTCATAGCAATGCGTCACGGTCTCAACAGAATCAGTGCTTGTTTCATCACAAAACACAAGAAGTTTGTCCTCGAATGTTGCGATGTGTTCAATAACATTTGAAATGGGTACAGAGCAGACCTCTGTCAGCGTGGTAGCCGAAAATTTCAAGTCTAGTCTGTACATTTTTTTATCGGAATGTTTCAACCAATAAATATAGTTTTCATGTGGGACAATAAAAAGTTTGCAGTCCACTGAAGATGCGAACGGTGTTGGGTTTACAACAGAAAACATTGATAGAGTCGGTTTTGAACAACCAAAGCTAAAACCAGCCATATTCACTTTTTGTTGAGTCTCACCCCATTTCTTCCAAGCTGTTGCTCTTAACACATATAATGAAATAGCATTTTGAGAGTTGACATTGAAGGCGAGTAATTCATCTCTGAAATATGTCAAGTAATATTTTTGACTTTGATCAAAAAATTTTGGTATCGTGTACCACTTGTTGTCTAGAAAGCTCAGCACTTGTACCCCAGCACTGTTTACGTAGACAGCAACGTTGACATATTCACTGCAACGTCTGTGGACGGCTGTCGACGGAATCTGTCCGTGACCTCCTCCGACTGTTTGATGCAAGATGGCGTTCACAACGATGTCACGGATGCCGGAGTCTTCAACGACCAGTTTGACCTTCTGCAGACGTGTCAGGCAGTGAGTGCTCGCCAGGCATATTCTACTGGCTGCAAATAACTTGCTTAGAAACTGTAATCTCGCTCGCCGAAGTTCTGAAACGGACTTTACATGTACATCTACCCTCTCGTCATCTGTATCCTCCTTTTTGTCATATGTTTCCAATAAACCAGTTCCAAGATGGGCAGTTGGTGCATATTGACCTATGGTTTTCTGATCCCCATCATTGATCAGCTGACCATCGTTCCCTTCAGCGACAGTATTGGTAACGAATATGTTTTTAATAGAATGAGCCTGGTCATTAAACCCTGTAGCAGCCTGCCAGCAACCATAGTTACAAGAAGTACTTTCCCCAGTGGCTTTCTGTTCATTGCCATTGATCAACTCACCATGTTTGTCTTCAGAAGTCTCAAGGGAGCCCAAAGACGTGTTTGCATCTGCCAAGATTTTCGCCTCCGTTGCGTGCTCTTCATCCTTGAAGTCGGAATAATAATCCGCCCATTTCAAAATGGTCTCTATCACAAAATCTTCAGTGGAGACCTTCAGCTCATGACTGTCAACAATGGCAAGTAGCTCAAAATCGTCCAGTTTAAGAATCGTTTCATTGTCTTTACAATTTTCAAAATTGTAGATGATAAAATCTAGAGTCGCTTCAAGCACCTTAGTAGAGCTCAACATTTTAGCGTTCTGATAAATATCTTCATAGTGTTCTTTGGATAACATACTGATGGCGAACTTCTCACATTCTTTAACCAAAAATTCTACCTGGAGCTGGTTGGCTGCGTGCCAGATGTCAAAGACGTTCTTGACTGTGATGACGTCGGCACTGGTGTACAGAACATCCAGAATGAGCTGGAATGTAGCACTGGTCATCCCCCCTATCGTGACGCTGTTCACTTCCTTTTCTTTCATGCAGGATCGGAAGAGGCCAGAGAAAAACCCAGAACATGCCTCAAGCACGAAGCGAAAACAACTGAATCGTCTACCTTCCACCACTACAGTAAAGTCACGAGTTTCTTGATTCTCTTGCCAAAGCTTTTTAACGCATAGCGCTAGGCCGAAAACAAACTCATCTTTTGTGTTCATGCTGCTGGTCTGAAAATAACAAGGAACGAACACATATTTGAATGAGTAGCCAATTTTAAACTGTAACAATCACACCATTGGAAAATTTGAGAACTTGATTTGTGCAGAAAGGTAATCAATTTTTAAAATGTTAGATTGAAAGTTACCCTGAAAGTGACCTTTTAGGATTATGATTTTAAAATAACACGTTTAGGAATGTTAAGTTTTAATATTCTACCAATACTAAGTTTCTTTCCATATCCTAAAACTTTAAATAATCTTTACACCTTCTTAGTTTATAAAGAATATCATTATATAATTGGTTCACATGAAGATGTATATTTTTGGGATTTTAATTAGTCACGCATCAAATCACGTGGTTTGGAATCTATTTAATCACATATCAGATCAGACGCCAAGTAAATTAAATGCACAAATCTTTACTTTTTTTGTCAAATAACACACGGTTTCGACTTTTATGGGAATTATTCTTTATACACAAAAATCTTATTAATAAACGTATTCTTTTAAAGCGGGAGCTACGCCACGCTATTTCTGTTTCTCCCTTACCAAGGGACATTTCACTAAAGAAGTTTACCCACTTTGATAATGTGATTATTGCCCTAATTTTGACCGATTAATCTGTGCTCCAAATTTGAACTCTGTAGCGTTCAGTGCATCAGTGCATCAGTGCAACAGAGATTTAGGAATTTGAAAATATTGACCCAAACAAATAAATGAATATATTATAGATATTATAGGCCAAGATATCTCCACTCTTGATCAAATTGAAGAAATTCTTTTATTATGCATAGTAGTGGAACGTATAAATTTAAAAAAAAAAAAAAAGTAATAATAATAATAATATTCATTCTTTAAAGTATGATAATAATTCGACTAATAATATAATATTTTTAGATTTAGGAATTTGAAAATATTGACCCAAAAAAATAAATGAATATATTATAGATATTATAGGCCAAGATATCTCCACTCTTGATCAAATTGAAGAAATTCTTTTATTATGCATAGTAGTGGAACGTATAAATTTAAAAAAAAAAAAAAGTAATAATAATAATAATATTCACTCTTTAAAGTATGGTAATAATTCGACTAATAATATAATATTTTGCGTTCTAAATTAAAGGGAATTCACTAGTGTGTGTATTCTATTATATATTTGTTATTTCTCTTGCTAACCGAACTTACCGAACATTGTTGACTGTTAGCAACAACATCTTTTTTTTCTATACAGGGGAGACAAGTCCTGGTAAAATAAGTGTGGGGAAATCACCCAAGATTCCCTCCCAACGTAACTCTGGATTTATTTATTACAAAAAAATAAATAAAAAACGAGCATTAATTTTCTAATACGTGCCGGCTTAGTCCTACAAACATATTAAACCAGGGTCATCAAACTACGGCCCGCGGATCAGATCCGGCCCGCCTGCCTTGCCACTTTACGTGTACCCGGGTAGCAGTGACAGATATGAAACCGGACTTTGCCCGTATTTTTAACCCGAATTCTGTTCCATACGTCTCATTGAAAAACTAATAAATTTATTTTGATCAAATTTTTTTTTAAATTATTTAAAATATCGTATTTTTTTCTTGTTCATTTTGAAAATAAACATTATTTGATATATTTTTCTACCCACTACCAATAAGTTGATAGGATGGGTGCAGAGTGCATGACAATTCGTTCATTTTAAATCTATTGTCCAATCCCATCCCCCACCCCCAAACGGTTTCTTAGAAACAGTAAACCGCCCACCTCCCCCCACCCCCAACTAACGGTTTCTACGAAACAGTAAACCGCCCACCTCCCCCCACCCCCAACCCCCCCCCAAAAAAAAAAACAACAACTAATTAAAAGTTTTGAGGATCCCTGTCTTAAACGAATAAGTTAGTTCGCTCGCCACACACCAAAGGCTGCCATACCTTGGGAATTTTCCCAAGATCTTGGGAATTCACTAACCCATTCAAGACAAAAACTCACTTTTTAAAAAAATTCCAGAAATTCTTTAAAAAAAACTCTTTTACATATATCCTTGATCTTGGGAAATATTTTGACAAAATCTTGGGAATTTAAAAAAAAATTGAGTGGTAGACCTGCGCACACCATAGAATCAACACCACGGTGGGCGATGAGATACTGACCAGAGAGATTCTAAACAAACAGTTTGTCCGCCTAAAAGATATTTCCTGCTGTGGAAAATTTTCAGGAAAACGTTCACGGGTGTTCCCACATGACTCGTACCTTGTATATAATGTATATATATATATATATAGTTATTTAATTACCATCAGCCCCATTCCAACTGTGCTTTGAATAACGCCATACAAGAACACAATGAAACGAGAATATACTTAGTTTATCTTTGCCTACACCGGTGTTTCTCAACCCATGGGTCGTGACCCTTTTGTGGGGGTGGAACTACCCTTACACAGGGGTCACCTAAGACCACCGGGAAACACATATTTATGAAGAAGTAGCGAAAATAATTTTATGGATGGGTTCACCAAAACACGATGAAGTGTATTAAAGGATCGTGGCATTAGGAAAGTTAAGAACCACTGGCCTCCACCAACGGAACTGAGTTGGCCAAGAATGTAGGCCATATTCCGGAAACTGAAAGATATTACACTTTTTAAAGTTTTTTTTAAATTAGGTTACTTTGAGTATGTGTGTATTTGTGTTTGCTTGTGTATGTGTGTGCGAGTCTGCGTGTGTGGTGATCTGATAGAACGCAGGCGGTCTCTGTCGATGGCTGTCTCTCAGGCAGTGCTGATTTGGTGTACGGAGTACCACAATGGTCCGTTTTAGGCCCGATTCTATTCACATTGTATACCAGACCACTGCTCTTCTTGCTTTGGAGGCACGCTGTTGAGAGCCAGTCATTTGCTATACAAGCATACCCATCCTTCTCTTGTTGAATCCGCTGTCCAGACTTTGCGGGGGTGCATTGATGATGTCAAGTCATGGATGACACTCAGCAAGTTGAAGCTTAATGATGACAAAACGGAAGCACTCCTTATCCACAATCACACATCATCCTCTACCTCAACTCTTCCAACCTCATTTCAAGTAGGTAACTCTGACGTACGGTTTACACCCTCTGCTAGGAATCTTGGTTATATTCTTTCTAACCACATGTCTCTCGATAAACACATATCTCACATTTGTCGTTCAGCATACACCACTATCCGTCAGATCAGCTCCATACGCCACTAACTCACAGTTAGCGCTACAAAAACTCTAGTCTGTGCTCTTGTTCTGTCTCGTCTTGACTATTGCAACTCTCTTCTGTCAGGTTCACCAAAACACTGCATAGAAAAACTTCAGAAAGTTCAAAACTCAGCTGCTAGGCTAGTTTTAAAGGCAAAAAAAGTGATCACCTCACTCCAATACTCCATTCCCTACATTGGCTACCTATACACGCACGCATTGACTACAAGTTGTCTGTTCTCTGTCACAACTTTTTCTTGGATTCCTTCCCTTGCTATCTAACCGAACTTCTTTCTTTCTATTCACCCCTTCGACAGCTTCGCTCCTCTGCAGACACGCGTATTCAGTCCGTTCCCAAGACACACTAAAACATATGGTGAACGATCTTTCTTTTTCTGCGCCCCCAAACAATGGAATTCTTTGCCACTACACATCCGCAATATACCAACCACCCAGGCCTTCAAAACTGCACTAAAAACATATATTTTTAAATTATACTACCCTGACTGATTCCCCTCCTCTGACCGATAAATGATCTTGCTTGCTGCCGTCCATGGCTTGCCTTGTAAAAGTTATGCGGTGGGGCGGGTGAATATACATTGCTGTACTTTATTTCATAAATGTATTTTATTTTAATGTCATGATTATTTCTCTTTTGATAAAATTTTTATGTACAACGCGGTGAGCCCAGCCCTAGGCTGGGGTACCGCGCTATATAAGACCCCTTATTATTATTATTATAATTATTATAAGCACAAATAAAATTGCAAAGTGTGAAATAAAATCGAATTATAGTCTAATGTGTACAGTTAATATCTCTTATATATATTTTACTTCTGGTGTGTCCTGCTTCCTTTTCACGAATGACCTTCCACCTAGCACGTTTTATATTAATATTATTGAGTAAAGAAAAAAGATTTTACACAGCGAGCTGCCATGCTTGATGTCTCAACTCTGGTTAAACGGTTGAATTTATTTTTCTTTATTGAACAATAAAGAGCAACAGGTATATGACTGTCTTCAGGCTCATTATCTAAAGGCCGGCAGCTAGGGTGTAGGACTGTGGGCCTATTGTTTAATGGCTGTCATGTATTGTAGAAAGTTGGTACTTAACTCTCTTTTTTTTTCTTTTTTGTAACACTCAGACCCAAGCGGTATTTTCTAAAAATAATTCCCGGACCCTGTGTAAAAAGAAAAAAATTCGCCTGGTTAATCCTTGGTAATTGCATATCTTATCAGAAGATTAGCTCGTCCTAGCGTGACATCATCTGAATATCGGGGCCAAAAATAACACCAAAATGGATAATACAAATTTAAAAAAAAAAAAACTTTTTTTTTGAAACGCGCTTTTCTAAAAATGTTCTTTAAAAAAAAGCATAAAAGAAAAGTGCCCCGAATATTGAGAGCTGCAACACTCATATGTTTTAGTTGTGTTGAAAGAGCGTTTAATGAGTAGCCCAACGTTTAGCGCTGCACTGTCAGGTAGAGATTGCAAACTTTAGGAACACACTTTTGAAAATACAATGTATGAAAAAAATATATGAGATAACAAAATGTGTACAATTGTACTAAGAAATGTGTGTGCAGTCGAAAAATTCTTTTTAAAAGAACTAAATTTTTAATCGGATGTTTGTTTTCCGGGGGTTCGGATGACCTGTGTGATTGCAAGGGCTCTAAAAATTTGAATAGTCAATGGTCTCTCGGTAGCTTTAACTGACCCTGCTTCTAGGTAGATCTGTACAGGATTTAAGAACCCGGAGACAGGCAACAATGCTAAGTGGACATCGTGTTTGCCTGATTAGACAGTTTGTTTCATTAGTTTGTAATCACAAGTGATCGATTACTTTGGATGTCTATTAAGATCGCACCGTTTCCCCTAAAAAGCTTTTGATTATTTGTGTTTTGAAAGGAACAAAAAAAACCCACTAGAGTTGTTTAAAAAAACCCACTAGAGTTGTTTAAAAACCCCACTAGAGTTGTTAGTGTCGTAGAGGCGGAACTCAAGGATTCGTCTAAACGTGCATGCTGGTCGTGGAAAGAGAAAGAAAGGTAAACAAAGGGGAAAAAATGGGGGGTGGGCTGGACGGCAACCGTGGCAGTCACAGACGTTGCCGGCCCTGAACGTGGTTCGACACGGTTGGAAAAAGAAAACCACTCTGTGCTGTGAACACAAAGGGTAAAACTAAGGGTAAAACAAAGGGTAAAACTAAGGGTAAAACAAAGGGTAAAACTAAGGGTAAAACTAAGGGTCAAAGATATTACTAACAAGTTTTTGTTTTTTTACAAAGACGAGTTAAAACGCTCTGTACAGTATAAAATAATTTAACATTTCTTACAATGCATTACGCAAAGAGAGACTGTAGACGAGCAATCTATGCAGCCGGAGGATATGCTTCATTTTTATGAATTTTTAAAAATATTTTATGCACATACTTTCTTTGTATACTGTACATGTTATGCGCACAATTTGGTGAAAGTTTAAATATTTTTAAGTTTAATATAATAATAATATACATAATATCCATGTTTTTTATTTTTTTAAATCACCAATTATGGTCCGACATTTGCCTCAAAATTTTGCAAATATTTCGTGAATATAAAATCGTGCAAGTACCACATTTTGAATCATAGCGCAGTGAGACTTTAATTGTAACATTACAGTGCACAACAAGACTACAGTTGTAAAATTACTGTGCACAGTTAGACTACCATTCTAACATTTCAGTGCGCAGTGAGACAGCGAGACTACACTTGCACCTATTCCAGCTCTTTAGCTCACCAGTAAAGGGGAACCACTTACTTTTAAAACACACGATTAAACCCCGGGGACTGGGAAGCGCAGCCCACGATACCATTGGGGAGATACGATTGGTTACATTTTAAGGGTACACAGCAGGAATCTCCAATCCATTGAACCACCCCCCCCCACCCCACAAAAAAAACGCTTCACGTATTATTGTGACATAGACCGTGACCTTTGATTCGTCACGTTTATTGAACATGACCTTATTACATGTGTGCCATGCGCGCTGGTGATTCTATGAATCGTATTACTTTTTTGGTATTTTTCATTGAAAAACGTGGGTTTAAAAAAAAAAAAAGTGAATTTAAGTTTAAATATTCCATACATGATATGAAATGCTTCTGGGGGGGGGGGGGGCTGGGTGTTCGGAGGGAAGCCAAGCAAGTATCACGTGGTTTTCTTCCGTGGACCGTTCAAACTCAAAAAAGTTCCTTTCACGTGTCCATTCATGTACCACCCCCCAAAAATGTATGTTATGTTTGCTTTTGGATTTGAAAATCGCGAACCCTCTGGGACCACTACGGTTGACCACTGTGTTCAAATCATAGCTGCCCTTATGGGGGGGGGGTGACCAAACAGCTGACAGTTTAGAGACATTGTCGATATCTAAGTATGAAACAAAGCTCACGGTCTTACAGGTGGGTAGGAATGCAGACAGCTCACATCACCTGGAAAGGTTATTGTTGTGGCCGCTCCCACTCATTCTCGTTATCCATGCACATTATTTCAACATTATCTTCTGTTGGCTCAATATTACCATCTGTTGGCTTAACATTATCATCTTTTGGCTCAACATTATCATCTGTTGGCTCAAGTTTATCATCTGTTGGCTCAACATTATCATCTGTTGACTTAACATTATCATCTGTTGGCAGCTTTTCTTATTTTCCAGCTCCGGGGCGACGCTCATCAAAGAGAAATCAATACCATCCGGGCATTTACCGGAAATACAGCGTCATATTTGACACATGCTCATTTAGACTACGACACATGCGCGGAGGTCAGGTTAAAAAAAGACTCAGCGACAAAGTGTATGGAATTGACTTTATTATGACCTAACTCTTGAGGAAAAAAAAATTCTAAATACTTCTACAAAAAATGACATTTCCTCTACACTCGGTCCCACCCCCCCCCCCCCCCCCCACCCCCCCCCCCCCCCCCCCCCCCCCCCCCCCCCCCCCCCCCCCCCCCCCCCCCCCCCCCCCCCCCCCCCCCCCCCCCC